ACGAGCCCATGTCTATGACCATTTGTATAATAACCCTTCTCTTTATAACCTAAAGAAACATTATTGTGTGGATTTTTACATCCTACTTCAACTTCCCCCGAACTCAACTGTACACCGAAGGTACAAGAGGTGTAGCACCTCCCTCCCGCCCTTCTCTACTGAGATTCTGGACTAAATCGAGACAAAACTATATACAGTAGCAGAACTCCGACAGCGACGGTTAGTTTTCCCTTTTCAACCCTCCCTCGCCAAGTCCAGCTCCCTCCCATCCATCATAGCGAGGCCGCGAGTTGCGGCAGTCTGGACCAAGTATAATAATGATTTTCATACCAGCGAGCGAGCACCCACGTCCAATCTGGTCCAGCGAGGCGAGGGTACGTGTACCACAGGTTAGCCGCCGCGTCTGCCGCTCGTTCTTGCCTCTATGGAGTACAGGCGAGGGTACGTACCACAGGTTAGCACTTTGTCTTCTACTAGTACTAGCATCAGTAGTAACGGCACGCCTCCCTCCCGACTTGTCCTCAGGGACACCGAGTTCTTGTGCACACACAGGTTAGGGACACAGGTTGTTGTACGAAAAAATCGGAGCATCCGATGAGTCATCGCATGCCTGCCACATCATCTGGCAGCCTGACACCTGCCGCGCTGTTGCTACCCTTACAATCCGCTGTGATTTCCGGCCGTCTGTCGCTCCTTACAGCCAATTGGAAGCGGCCGCTGTTAGTCTGTCTCGTGACGTGTAGAGTCACCAACTTGACTGAAAGACCTAGTGTAGTAACCGCTCAGCCCAAACAGATCTGCTAGTGTACCCTTCCTTGTTCAGTACGTATCATGGTTTCCAGATACTGATCCGACCCGATCCATGGCATTTGAGGCTGCTACTCAAATACTTCGTTCTAGAGGAATGCCATTTTTGTGGTTAAGACCCCACACCCTTCCAAAAAAGAGACTTGCCTCCGCAATGACCCTCTTCCCACGTGGATGCTTGAGAGGTTCCAAGTTCATTATATCAGTAGTCCTTGTTTCTGTTCATTTTTGATCGCCAAGTTACAATCAGAACTCGTTTTTGGGCAGAACACTTCGCAGATGACGTAGGTGCATGTAGGGTTTTCCCTTCCTGACTTCCTCCCCTGTCCAAGCAATTTGGCAGCAACAGGAGCTCGGCCGTCTTTGGAAAGAGAGAGAGAGAGAGAGAGGAAAAAACAAGGACGCTCGACCTCAACTTGTGGGGATGATGCACTTCTAGAAGCTTCGTTGCTCGACGACTGAGAAGGGACAAGTGCACGACTGACAAACCGAGTACATCACTGACGACTGACGACTGACGGGTGGAAGGCACTCGGGACTCCCGAGACGGACGACTGGCGGCGGACTGCCAATGCGAGACTTCTCGTCTCGTACAGCACATGTAGAGGGGGCTTGTCTCTTTCCATCGCATGGAGAGGGCTTGTCTCTTTCTATCACAAGAGGAGAGGCTGGAGGCTGGAGGAAGGAGGAAGGAGGAAGGAGGAAGGAGGAAGGAGGAAGGAGGAAGGAGGAAGGAGGAAGGAGGAAGGAGGAAGGAGGAAGGAGGAAGGAGGAAGGAGGATGATGAATGATGAAGGCGGAAGGAGGAAGGAGGAAGGAGGAAACGGGGAAGGAAATTCATCAGTACGGTACTTTCGATCGCAGGAAGCACTCACATGCTCCCTCCCACAATCCCTGAGGGATATCATGATGTACGGAGCACCTGGGGGAACAAACGCACGCTCTCCCGCATCATGCTGAGGGTTCCCTTCCCCGTGCAGGTGAATCGATCAACCCAGTGCGCCACAGCCTTCCCACGGGCGGTAGCAAGGCTGTGGGTGGCATGGATGGATGGAGGCTGGTGTGGTGTGGAGTCTTCTACGGTACGGACTCAGGGGTAGCAGTACAGTACCCCTGGCAAGGCTGTGGCACGGATGGATGGATGGATGGAGGATGGTGTGGTGTGGAGTCCAGCCCCGGCTCCACGGTACGATCTCAGGGGTGCAGCAGTACCCCTGGCTTGGAAGGGTCCCTTTCTTTCTTCGCTCCTGATAGGCCGCTCCCTTACTCCGGGATGCACCAACAGCTTCATTTCTGGAAAGAGGCTCGCTGCTGCCGGAGCGAACATCTGCTGCTGCTGCTGCCGCCGCTGCTGTCTCTGCTGCTGCCCCTGCTGCTGCTGCTGCTGCTGCTGATATTGTGTGGCATCATTGTTGCTGTGGCTACCTTCTGTGATTATTATCCTCTCAGTCCGTCCCAGCACCTTCAAGCCTTTCCTCTTCTTCCAGACCTTTTCATGCCTCAACAACAGCTCACACCTCCGCTCATATACTTCTCGAGCAGAAGCATTGACAGCGCTGCACTCACACTGGCTGAGTGTGTTACCAGCGAACAGCTCTCAACCGAGCATTTCAGACCATCGCTTTCAGCCAGGTTCGGCCGTGTCTGCCGCTAAGTGCCACTGCAGCCACATGAGAACCTGCATTCCGTTCCAGCAAGCTCAAGTGGCCGTGGAAGAGACTCCAGTCAGAAAGACTTCAGCAATCTCGTCCGCCTTCCACAGCAGCCGCTCGAAAACCTGCATTCGGCTCCATGAAGCTCCAGTGGGCGTGGGAGGGACTTCAGGTAGAGAGCTCCATGACCGAGTATCAGCGGACTCACCAGCATCCCACAGCGAGCGCTTGAAGACGTGCATTGCGCTCCAGGGAGCGCCAGTTGGTGTGGAAGGGATTCCAGTCAGAAAGTCTTCAGTGAGAGAACTCCATAACAGAGTCTCAGCAGACTCGCCTGCCTCCCACAACAGCCGCATGAAGACCTGCATTACGCTCCAGGGAACTCCAGTGGGCATGAGAGGGACTTCAGGTAGAGAACTCCATGATCGGCGATCAGCGGACTCACCTGCCTCCCAGATTGCATGGATTGAGCACCATAGGCAGCACACGGCGTGGCTTGCAAGGCACGGCATGTTGAGGACTGAGATCCCGCGGAAACGGCCGGCTAGCATGCTGTGGCATGTAGCGGCTAAGAAGGGACGCTGGGGGTGGAGTGGACTGCCGCACTTCAATGCTGCGCCCGTCGCTGCTTCTGCTGCTATTTCTGCGGTTTCTCCTATTGCTGTCGTTGCTCCTATTGCTGCCGCTGCTACCCCAACCGCTGCTGCTGCGGCTGCTCCTGCTCCTGCTCCTCTTGCGGCCGCTGTTTTTGTTGGCGATGTTGCTGTTGCTGCTCTTCCTGCGAACTATGGGGGTGCTGTTGCCGCAGCTGGTACCATTGCCAGCAGAACCATTGCTAATCCTGCCAGCTCTAGCACTTCAGTTGTTGCTGCTGCTGGTGCTGCTTCTGCTGCTGCTGATGCGGTGGCAGCTACTGAGGATGCTGCTGCTGCTGTGGCTGCTGAGGATGCTGGTTCTTCGCTGGGAGGACAATGCAGCAACCACGTGGTTGAAGCTGCACCAGTGAACAATGCTATTGAGACTGAGACGTTTCCAGCTACAAGTGACATCACTTCTCCCAGCAAAATCCTAAACAATCCCAGCCAGCACGTGCGGACGAACAGTGGAGCAACTCGGCACGACGAGACAGCCTGTGCCACGTGGCAGCCTGCCATTCACTGCCTATCCGCTGCTGTCTTCCCCACCAACTTTGCCCCTGGACCTGGAACCAAAGGCTCCCCTCTTAATCCCAACTGCACACGCATGCAGCAGCCTCTCTTTACCACTGCCATCCCATTTGGAGCACCCCAGAAGGAGGCCCATCATAATGCCACAATGCCCCAGCAATGTGCCGTCGTTTCCTCCAGCGCTGCTCCTGTTTTTGAGGCGCCTCAGACGTCAATGCCCCACCAATGTGCTGTCGTTTCCTCCAGTGTTGCCCCAGGAGTTGAGTCCCAGGATTCCCCTTCTCCTTGCACGCGCATGGTGCCTCTCTTTCCCACTGAAACTCAAGAGGGAGCTGAGATCCCCGCTACCGTCTCACTGTCCCAGCAATGGGCCGTCTTCCCCTCTAGTGCTGCCCCTGAAGGTGGAACCAAGGGGCCTGCTCTTCCTACGAACACTAATGAAGAAGAATGCCCTTGTCCGCCTGGAAACGCACATGAAGCTCACGCCCATAATGGGCCAGCAGTGCTACTACAACTAGAGGAGCAAGAGGCGTTTTATTCCAACACAGCTCTCTTTCCCATGGCCTTCGCTCAGCCCACAGGGTGGTGCACCCTTCCATCTTTCACGTGCCTCTTGAACTCCATCTCACCATCTTGGCAGCAGGAGTGCCTGAGCCCAGAAGCTTTAGAAGACGAGGGCAGAAAAGCGCTTTTGAATGTGCAGCTGCAGCCACAGCAGCTTCAGCTTCAGCAGCAGAGAGATTCTGAGGTTCATGTTGATGCCGGTGCATGGGAGTCAGATTGCACAGCAGGCAGTGCCCCTGGTGGTTCCAGTGAGGCGTGTGTGCTGCATTGCCTGTCAGCGAGCTCTCATAACACCGGGCAGGAAATGAAGTCCTGGCAGGAGAGGCAGGAGTTGGAGGAGCGGGAGGAGAGGCATGAGAGGGAAGAGGGGGGAGAGAGGGGAGAGCGGCAGTGGGGCTGGTTCAGCAATGTTGAGGAGCCTGAGAGGTTTACTGCAGGGAGGCGACTGACTGAGATCCGCAACTGCTGCAAAGAGCTGACCCACACATGGTCCGGCTCTGAAGATTGTGACGATGGGGAGCTGTTATCCACCGCATCTTCGTTATTGAGCATCCATGGAACATTTCAGACGTAGCAGCGCCGTCAACTGCATTACTTGCTTTCCTGTTAGCGCTAAGCGTAGGGCAATCAATAAGCATCCTTCCCCAGCCTTAGTATGTGCCCTGCCTTGCCATAATCTGCGCTGTTAGCTTTACTAGCATCTATATGCTATTACCCTGCTCCACCAGGGATATAATTTTGCATTTGCCCTCATGAGGGTCTCCCTATAAGAAGAAAAACAATCACCTCACTATACTGCATTCTGTCCCATCTACCCACTGCCTGCCAGCCCTCTAAGCTCCCAGATCTTCACCATCTCATCATCTCCCGCTGATGCCAGCAGGCGGGGATTCTGCAACACAGGGAGGGGATGTGGGGGAGGGGTGAGTGCAAGTTAATTTGCAAGTGAAAGCACGAACAGAAGTATTATTGTATATATTGCACGTGTGGGGCGTATGGAGTTGACTGGAAAAGCAGTGCACAAAAGAGGTGGGCTGGGCGAAAGTACTACAAGGTGGAACGGGCAACTCACCTTGGGGTTCCATCTGACGCAGTTCACATCTGTGCCATGTGCATGCGCCTTTCGAATCAACAGCTGAGCCCTGCTTCCCGCCTCCTCTCCCACCCCTCCCTCCCCTGCCACCCTTGCAATCCCTGCCTCCTCGCCGCCCCCCTCTCTGTCGGCAGCATCGGAACTGGTTCTGTCACCATCGGGTTCTGAATGAGGGTGACCGGAGAAAGAGAAGACTCGGATGCAGTCATCGCCTGCTGCTGTGGCAATCAACCCACGAACCCTGCAAAATCAATGAGGAGGTTGAACAGGTACCGGTACACCACGCAGCTGCAAGAGTTGAAGGAGACATGCACATGCACATGCACATGCACATCCACATGCACATGCATATCACTTTTCGTGCCAAGGATTAAACATGAGATCCAGGGATTGGAACATGCTTGCATCATTCTGAAATGGTGATTTCAGCCATGCCCCTATCCAGCATTACTGTGTGAATGGTCAGTGCGAACGGGAGTGCAAGTGTCAGACGTAAGGGGCTTACATCGACCAGTCAACGTGGAAGATGGTGCGGTCATGGAAGCCCGAAAGTGTACACACATGCGACCTGTCAAGCCAATAAACACATGCACATGATGTTTCGAGCCAGGGATGATGGGTGAAGAGCAGAGGCGACAGAAAAAATAAAAATTAGTCACTTGCTTGCGCGGATAGGCCAATGCCATGATGCCAGATACCATAAAAACCATCAAGTGGCATAGTTTGTCTGCATGGATGCGCTTTTAGGTTGTGCGTCCAACCATACCATCCCCTTGCTGAAAGCTTGCTCCCTGAACTCCCTTCTGAGGTCCTCACATCCGATGGCTCCCGGCTTGTATCCCAGATTTTGACGGTCAGATCATCACTGTAGGGTGGGTGGTAAGACGGGGTCCGAACACAGAAATACGCAGGAGAGGGTTGAAGGGAGAGTGATGGGAAGTCATGCTTGAAAGGCATAGCAATGGGCAAGCGAGAGTGTACAGGGAAAAAAAAAGGGCAAGGAGCGCATGGGAATGAATTCAGGGCAGGGAGCGCATGGGATGAGAAACAAGGATGGAGGAGGGTGGACGGAAAACAGTGGGTATGGCAAGGAGAGTATGGCAACGCTGGGTACCTGCAGGATGCCATGTAGTGTCCTGTAGCATCAAAGGAAATAGCCCAGACTGTGGACGAGTGCCCCGCCCTGGACACAGAGAAAAGGACAGGTGATAATTGTGAAGAGCTGGTCTCAAGGGAACCAAGAAAAAAAATATTCACTCTCCCTCTATGAAGTCATTGCTGTTGTAGTGGCTGATATTGGCATACCCATGCTACGCTCACCCATTTGCAGCATCAAGGGTCTGCACGCACGACCAATCGTCTTCACCCTCCACCTCTGCAGCCCACACCTGCCACAAGCACCACATCATGGACAAGCAACGGACCACATGCAACAACATGCAAAGCTGAAACCTTAACAACCATAAGGTGGACGTAAATACCACCCAACATCAGGCACTTTCTTCAGCAAAATCACAGTAAGAATGGCTGCAACCTCCCTTCACCTTTATGCTGTCATCGTAGCTGGCAGACACGAGCCAGTCATGCGTGGGGTGCCAGCACACCATCTTCACGTCCTGAGTGTGCCCATGCAGCACCGCCACACAGTCGAAGTCAGACGCCGGGCCCACACCGATCCGTCCAGCCACTCCGCTGCTGCCACCTGGCACCTCCCAGATCCACACGCTCTTGTCCCGGCTGCAGGTGGCTAGCAGGGAGCTGGTGGCGTTCCATGCCACGGACTTCACCTCGCTCTCGTGGCCCTAAGATCATGGGTGGGTAGGGGGAAGGTGGGAGTGTGAGGAGCGCGAAAAAACGTCTCACATCACGTGGCTAGCAGGGAGCTGGTGGCGTTCCATGCCACCGACTTCACTTCGCTCTCGTGTCCCTTTAATCATGGGTGGGTAGGGGGAAGGCGGGGGTGGGAGGAAGGGTGGAGATTGGAAGCTAGGAGGGGGGGAAGGGCTGGTGAAGTGCCCTTAACACAGCCCACAGGCGTTACATGAAGACTGTCAGTGGTGTCTAACGCGGATGGATTGACCGTGAAAGGGAAATGAGAGGGAAAGAGGAGCCGGAGAGGGGGTTGAATCCAAGAACAAGGTCGTCATGAACTCGTGGATAGGTAAGGATTTGCACTACAATTAGTGTCTCACTCGAAAAATAAAAAAAGAAAGCATGTGTCATATCCGGAGGTCTTTCAGCCTTCTAATAGCTCAAAGTTCAGGAATTCTGAACATGCACATGCAGGAAAGAGTGAACGACAATGGACTGACCTCGAGAACAGCGAGACACTCGAAATCAGCATCGTTGGACCCAGTCCTTTCCCAGACAGCCACCGTGTTGTCGAAGCTGGCTGTTGCGAGGAACCTTCCGTCTGGCGACCACTCGCAGGATCTAATAGTCCTCGAGTGCGTGTCTTCCAGAATTGCCTGTTGAAAACAATCCGAACACGAATCAGTACTGAGAGAGATAAACAGCTGCTAATTCTCATACTTTTTTCCAAGTCGCGGGATGGATGCTGGGGCGAATTTCGAAAAAGAGATAGTAAAGACTCGGTTTCGGGATTTTTACAACCTTGCAGATGAAAGAAGATGACGGTCCGGCTTCTCGACCCCAAATACGGACACAACGGTCGCCGCTACAGGAGGCCAGTAGCGCTCCGTCCGGCGACCATGAGACGCTCCACACGCGATCGTCATGCCCGCGAAGCTCCTGAACCTCGACTAACTCAGAAACGTCGCAGGATTTCGAAACCGCTGAATCGGGTGGGGTACTAGGCAGCTCCCTAGCTTTTCCTACTTGCTCCTGACGTTGGCAGTGTGTGTGATCGTCATGTATCTGTTGAAACCCTCAAGAAAACCGCCGTCAGTTGAGGTCTGTCTTGTCCTTTTGGAAGCTGTATTTTTACAGAGTTACAGGAACTGACATTGCCAGCCATTTTTATGAGCAGGAAGTTATGGCTTTCATGAAACAGTCCCGACGAAAGGTAGGATACCGTGAGCATTTTCACAAGATGTTCTGCTTTCTCGTGCGGTAACGTAGCATTTTCTCATTTCAGGGTTCCCGTGGTGGAAGCCTGAACGCGTCCTTGCATAGCGGCGTCAGAAGCTCTTGTCAGAAGTTTCTGGAAACGAAGATACCAGACGTTGCAACCTCTTGTCAGAAGCTTCTGGAAACGAAAATACCAGACGTTGCATCAGATTCTAATGAGCGTAATCTGTGCGAGAGTTTCTTCGTTGATAAGCCAGCGCCGGTGCCAACCAAACAAGTTGGTTTCTCAAGCTTACGCACCACCGCCACTGAAGCTGCATGGGACATGGATAGAAAGTACACTTCAGACTTGCTACCAAGTTCGTTCGAGTCGCTCTTAGGAGCTAACAAACCGGTTGCATCGCCACCTTACTTCCCGGAGCGTGGAAGTTCGAGCTCGCCGTTCTTGGATGGTGATGTGAGAAGCAGACACCCAGTTTTGGAAGCGAGATGTCTAGACGCTGCATTAAAGATCGACGAGAGTGACCTCTCGACTTTTAAAGAGAGTGTCTCTGTGGCATTCCCTGTTATGAAGACATCATCGCCGATTGAGGGATGTGATCATGGTCATTCCCTGTTCACAAGTCCTACTGACGGCGTGCGGAAAATGGAAGGGAGCTTTTCCAACTTTCTGTCGAGCTCCTCTGAGCTGTTCTCTGGTGCCGAAAAATCGGGTTCACCACCGCCTTACATCCCTTCTAAAGTGAACGAGATTTTTTCTCCACATACTGAAAAGGTTGGGTCAGGGCAAGCATGCATCCCACAACAGTGCGGATCGGAGCCAGATTTCACAACAGTTTGTAAAAATAGTTCTGTGCTTAATGAGTGGGAAGCACCCCCTTCTTCATCGCCACAGAAGAACACCATTGAGGAGTTGTTCAGTGACCTGCCAGCAAAGCCTTTGGGGTGTGGTGGCTGCGTGAATGCAGACCTGGGAGCACGCACAAGCGTTTCTTGTGGCGAGTGGAGAAGTTTGAATAGCACATCACCTCTTGTTGTCTCCATGCTGTTCTTTGATGATAAGCGGCGTCAGCTTTATGTCTCGCTGGATTTGCAACTTCCTTCCAAGGTGCGTTCACACGAGCAAATATTTCTTGCTCACCTAAATCACACCCCTCACATCCTCAGTGGCTGTGCAGAAACGAGATTGGGCAGCAAATGGCGTGTACCTTTCCTCAATTGAAGACCTCAGCATCCTTGGAGTTGTAGTTCATCAGATTGGTCAACCTAAGTTGAGAGTCATTCTATTGCCAGGAGTAAATGTTGATGTTCTACCCACCAGCAACGCAACTCATGAGGAGTTCAGGTAACTTGTCGATTGAAGGCTGAGATTGTCATTGCTGCACAAACTGACAAGGGCATGTATGATTTCAGAGAAGCAATTCGGACAGCTATAGTTTCTGCAGATGCTATTATCTGTTGTGACTCACAAAGATTCATCAGATCTCTTTTACAGTGGAACGTTCCAGGTGAGCTCATAATTCTTTATTATAAACACAGAGATAGCATCTTCTTTGCATATACATAGGAGGCACATGATTATGTTTTTTTTTTTTTTTTTTTTTTTTTTTCCTGCAGTGATGGATCTGTACGACATGTTTATTGACCCCAAGGTGAGTAAAATTCCCGTACAATTATTCCTTCTATGCTCTTACGGGCCACTAACATTCGTGAAATGATGAATATTTCTGTCATCAATTTTCTTGAGAAGATTCTTGCATGGTAAGCTTGCCAGCGATTCTGAAATCCCTTCTTTCTGCTAGAAGTTGTGTTGAAAACTCAAGAAGTTTTTATTTGCCATTCAGGCAACTAGGTGAAAACCTGGAGCAGTTGATTGGAAAGGCGAAGGAAGAAACTAAGGGGAAAGATGTCCTGGAAATGAAGTCTATAGGAATTGATCATCTTCGGTGTGTTCACACCAGCCTCAACCTCTGCAATGATGTTCATGCGGCCTTGGTCGCAAGGGCGAATGGACCCCTTCGTGATGCATTCAGGTATGACTCAACAAAGCATTTGATTATTCTTGTCCTTGCCCTGTTATCACACCCTTGGGTGCTGCAGGGTCAACATGAGACTTCTTCCTGTTCTCGCGCAAATGGAGATTGCTGGCGTTCGGGTTGACGTAAGTGCATGACTCGTTATATTCAAGACTTCCCGGCGTGTTTTTACATCTGTAGCCTAACATGGAGTCGTTTTCACGCAGATGGACTTACTAATGTCAAAACGGGACTACTTGGAGGTGTGACACATAAACCTGAGATTGTTGCATTGATAGTGACCGCTTACTCATCATACTAATTTTGTGCTTGCTACAGAAACGGATGGAGCATCTTACGACGATTGGTGAAAAGTTGGTTGGCCGTCGGATCAACTTGGCTAGTCCAAAGCAAGTGGCTCAAGCCTTGTATGAGGTATGAGATGCATTTTGGTAGTTGAAATATGGTATTCTGGACAAAACTTCAGCTTATGAGGACTGCAGGACTTGAAGCTGCCAGTAGGAGCAGCGAAGAGTGTTGGTATGGCCAAGAAGCGAGAGGCACAGACCCACTCAACTACAAATGAGGCAACACTAAGTCAACTCGCTTCATTTCATCAGTTCCCCAGTATTGTTTTAGAGGTGAGTTCCTTTTACACTAAAGAAGCAACGTTGCTCAAAAGCCCAGGCTTATTGTGCCTAACGTCTGTGGGTTCCAGTTCAGGCAACTTATGAAGGTCAAGTCGACGTGGATTGATGGTCTTCTATCAAGTTCCTGCAGCGAAACAGTATTCCTTTCACTTTCGCATGCGATGCAGCTGGAGCAGGTTGCTCAGTTTTCCAGTGTTTTCAGGATGGGTCTGCTAGGATTCACTCAGAGTGGAATGCTGCAAACACGGCAACAGGACGGTTGTCATCTTCCAGCCCTAACTTACAGGTTTGATTTACACATAACCAGCAACAAACTTTTGATTGTTTGTTTGACGAATTCACATTGCTGTTTTAGCAGAACCTGCCTACATACGCCCTAGAAGGAACATCTGCAGCAACAAACACTTCAACAGTTGCTATCGCCATTCGTGATGCTCTGATGTCTGCACCGGGGTTGGTTGCACATTTACTCCTCTTGTTTTAACTGCACCGGCTACATATCTCCGCACCTTGTCCCTGCTCTACCCGTAGTTCATCATCGCTCCTATTACTCTGGCGGTTCTTTAGAGTGAAGGAGTACAAATTCTCGGTCTTGAAGCGTTGTCTGCTTGGCATGCAGGAAGGTCCTCGTTTCTGCTGATTATTCGCAAATAGAGCTTCGAATCTTTGCTCACTTATCTGCTGATGAGGCTCTGGTATGGTTCTCCCTTCTTTCACTCACGAGTCACACCTGCATCTTCCAAAGAGTCCTGTTTTTTCCTGCTCCAGTGAGATAGGTTTGTGTCCATGTCTTGTGCAGGTTAATGTCTTTAAAGCTGGACAGCGAAGTGATGTTTTCATACTCATTGGAGCAGCGTATCTGGGAAAGACTGCAGATGAAGTAAATGATCAGGAGCGGCAACTGGTGAAAAGATTGTGCTGTGAGTGAGGCTGCTCATTGTGTTTTTGTTTGTTTTTCTTCTTCTTCTTCTTCTTCTTCTTCTTCTTCTTTCTTTCATTCTTTCTTTCTAATGTTGAAAATGCTCAACCAATGCTGCAGATGGTATTCTTTATGGGCAAGGGAAGCAAGCCATGGCCTCCATTCTGGGAGTGGATGTCGACAAGGCTCAACAACTTTTGCAAAGCTTTTTAGATCAGTTCCCAAGCATGAGGGCTTTTATCAATCAAACTATCAGCAGAGCCCGGCAGGATGGATATGTCACAACCATGTGGGGGCACCGCAGGCTACTTCCAGGTAATTCATTGTTCACTGTTCTTTTGCAACCATGTCAAAGTTGCATCTTTACTATGTTTCTGTTTCAGATGTACACGAGCGGAATCCAGAGAGGAGGGCTCAAGCAGAAAGGCAGGCAGTGAATACTATTATACAAGGCTCTGCAGCGTAAGAACCATCCTTCTTCTAAGTATCACACTCGTTTGTACATCATGGTTGACCACTTCCCCTTACCCTGGACTGCTTATTGTTGTTGGGCAGAGACCTGATGAAGTTGGCCATGCTGGATGCCAGCAAGCTTGTCCAGGGAAACAACAATATTCAAATCGTGATGCAGGTAAGTAAGTCCTGCTGCCTGTTCGCAAGGTCAGTTATTCTTTCTTACTCTACGTATCCTCCAGGTTCATGACGAGCTAGTGCTAGAAGTCCCGGAAGAGGATGTATTCAAAGTCTATAAAGCGGTCAAGCAGATGATGGAGAAGGTTGCATGCTTGGATGTTCCGCTGGTAGTGAATGTCAGGGCAGGGAGTCGCTTCGGAAGCTTGCGTGCCATAGAAGAGAAGTACCGTAATCACCCGGACATACCACCCGCCGAAATTGTAGACCCCCCGGGTGGCTTGTGCGGGGTGGGTGTTATAGTTGACCCCGTTTGTACTATACCCCCCCTTTTGGGGTGATTTTTTATAACACCCCCTTTTTTACACAGAATGCCTTATTTTAGGTGTTAACGAGTATGTGCAATGACGGGGGGACATCGCGACGATCACTTTTTGCACGAAATTACATGGTAATTTCGAAAGTATCTGCTGGGGTCACCTCCGTCCCACTTTTTCACTGTTGCCACGCTGGTAGTTCTTTCGCTATCAAGTGGCCAAAGAGGTGCCACCTCGCAACTTCAAGGAGGAGTCAATGTTGTCGTCGAAAGTTCGAAACTGACAATCTCGCTTCCAACTGTGATGCTAAACCAACCTTGAAAACACCCAAGCTGCCTATTTATAGAAACCCTTACACTAAAAAAATGTCATATATATGCACCCGGGTGGTATGTAGCTTTTTCCTATGAGAAGACCCCCCCCCATTTTTTTGCTGTATTTAAAGTAAGACCCTAGGGTGTTATGTCCGGGTGATTACGGTATGCAGTGTATTCTGTAGACATTCAGAATATGAGTAGTGGTTCTGAGGTACATGATGCAATTAACAGAATTGTATATTCATTAATTTTGTGATGGCCTGTTGCTACACAAGACCTCACACATTGGTACCATATCCCTCCCAAGGGAATGTTATAGAAGTGGTATATATATAGAATACACATATTCTGGTACGGGCTTTCAGTGTTCTAAAGTTATCCAACTGAAATTTATGTATTTTCTTTGTTTTTGCCGCTGCTCCGTGACGGGTCACAGGCTGCTTGAACACGTCGGCTGTTGGTCTTGATTGGACAAGCCACCTCACCTTGGGGAGGTTGTGGAATTTGGAAGACTGCCTATCCACTGCCCAGGTCAGACCAGTACCATACCAAACTGGCTCCACGTTAGCCGCGCTCTAGATGTAGGCCTGAACGTGCACCACCAGGGTTCCGTTGGGAAACGATAAAAAAGGGGCCCCGGAGTAGCAGTAAAGTGGCCGAATTGGGGCCTCGTGAGTCGCGCCCCTACTACGTACCCCCGAAGCAACCAACACACCTGGGCAGTTAGGCCGAGCCTGGCCTTCTCGCCAGGTCACCACCTACTGGCCTGGGGTTGACGGAATTCGCTAGTGACTCGTCATCGTAAATTACCCAGAAAAACAATCATTTTAACCCCAAAACAACAACGCAATGGCACAAAAAATAAACCCCATTCGGATGGCATATAATTGGGGAAGAATCAACCCTAAATACCGTGCGGCAAGATGTTTAGGGCTAAGGCCCCTTCGAAGGCATGACGCACGAGAGGAAAATTCGTCAATTTTTAGATGTCGAGTCAATTTTTTCGTTCGTCAAGGAGGAATTCGTCACCTTGTGTGATCAGGTCTGACGGAGCGCGTGGATGAGGCTAGAAATTGGTTGGGCACAGGTCCGGCTTAGGTTCGACTCCTTGCGACACACGAGGCCCCAAGTTTGCGACTTTTCTAGAGCTCTGGGGCCCTAATCTGATCATTTCCCGGTTCCGTTTCCTTCTGGTTCGCGTTTACAGGGCTGCACGGCTTTGGGGGGTAACTGAACCCACGCATCAACTTTCGTTTTGCGGGCTCGTCAAACTGGATGTATATGTCGGTCAGGCCTCAAGTTATTCGCGTTCCATGAATCTCCAGCCACTCACGGGCCTTCCCTCCCAATTTTGGGCATAAAAAACTTCCACAAATCGCGTTCCAAGAGCTAACCGATGTCTGTGACCAATGAGGCTTACAGCTTGTTCGCTGCCCCAAATCGCGTGTTTGCTCTGTGCGTTCCGTTATTGACAGCAGCAGCTGCTGCTGCTGATTCGCCGCACCGTCATCACCGGCCTCCCGCCATCGGCGCTGTGCGTTTCGTCCATCCCTCTCCCATCCGACCCCTCAGAACAAAACGGGGCGAAACAAAGAAACGCGTTCTGCTTGGTTTGACATTATTCTGCACTACAGACAAGCACCAAGATTGACGTTCTGAGTTGGAGGTCAAGCAATTCACGAGATTTATCTGCAAGCGCAATTCAGAACTGCTATTCGGGCTCGATTGTGGCCTTCTATTGTTCTGCATAGGCCTATCTCCGTTTTTTCGCTGCACGCAGAACATACTCACGACGAACCACTCACCATGGGCTGCAAACGAGTGTCGGTCGTTCATCCTGAGAATTTGCCAACAATGAAGCGAGCGCGAAATGAAAAGGCCACTTCTCCTGCACTCATACCTCCTTCATTGGAAAACCTTCCAGTACGTTTCCCTGTAGACCCTCCTCACTGCTTTCGTCTCGTCCAGCGCTTTTTTTTCTGCATGTGTCTTGATTCTTTCTTCCAAGGAAATGTCATTATCGCTGCATTTCTGCAAGCTCACCCCCTTCTACCGACATCTGTCCCCTTGTTTCTTTCCCCGATCAGGATGAACTGCTCACGACCATTCTCTCAATGGTCGCCGCACGCGCCTCAACTCCCCAAGACTTCCTCTCCTGTCGCCTCGCTTCCTCCCACCTTCGCCGCATCTCACTTCTCCCGGAAATCCTCGCCGTGTTACCATCTCCCGCTCTCGCTTGCCCGGCGAAACACTACACGCTCGCCTGTCGCTCGTTCCTGTCGGCATGCGCAGCGGCGGGAAACGCGGAGGCTGCATTTCTCCTCGGTATGGTCGAGTTTTACTGCTTGGAGCGGGTAGCTAGCGGCATGAAGCGGCTTGTGCAAGCGGCAAAGGCGGGCCAAGCAGCCGCGTTACACAGCTTGTCAATCATCCATTTCAACGGTAGCGGATTGCCTACAAGCGGAGTGGAGGGAAGTGGTGCAGCGGAGGGAGGTGGCGCAGCGGAGGGGGACGCAGGAAGGCGGAAGCTGTGGGGGAACCGGAAGGTCGGGATGGGGATGTTGCTGTGTGTGGCGGCGGCTAAGGCGGGTCATCCGGATGCGCTGCGGGAACTAGGGCTGTGTCTGCAGGATGGGTTTGGAATCAAACGGAGCGTCGCCCAGGGGAGGCTGCTTCTGGTGGAGGCGAACCTGCGGGAGCTGGCTAATAGCGGGGATAGCTTGGCGTCAGCAAAGGGTGGGGTCTCATGTTCAGAAGTCGAAAACGTAAAAATGAAGGCCGGGAATGTGAGAAAGAAACAGGAGCGGACTGTACTAGAGAGCAGTACTCAAGATGGAGTTGGCGTTAGGGACTCGAGGTGTGGAGAAGCAGAAGTAGCAAGAACGCTGGGAAGGTCTAACCTTCGAGGATGCGCTAAGCACCAAGGCGCGAACCTGTCACTCGGAACAGATGCAGCAGCCATGGAAACCCTACTTCAGCATACCACTCGCTTGCTGTCAAGAGCTGGCCGTGCGACTGCGAGGCGTGTGACTGTAACGGAAGGAGAGAAGCAGGAAGCGTTGGAAATTACTGACGAGGAGAGGCTGCTAGCTCGAGCCGTCTTGGCGGATGGCGGAATCTTCGGCTGCTGCACGAGTGAAGAGAAAAGCGTCCGGTTGGAGCCTCCACCGATTCCGCCTGCGAATCAGTTTCTCGTGGAATGGATGGCATTGCATGGACAGCGATTTCAGGAGAGCGGGAGGCATGTGTGCGGTAACGCGCGTTGTGGAAGAGTGGAGTTGCGAAAAGGAGAGTTTCGCTGCTGTGCATCGTGTGAGGAGGCTCGCTACTGCTCGCGCGCCTGTCAAGTGGTGGACTGGCGGGTCGGACATGCGGTCGCCTGCCAGCCGTGCAGCCGAGGCTAGACCAATCTACTAACATTACCCTAGGTTGATGACCAATCTACTAACACTCACTGATATGTACTCGATACACTGAATGTGCGCGGATGTATGCCACAACTCTCTAGTAGGTTTAGGTCTGGTTACCTCGAGGGTACTCATTGCTGCTTTGGCTTTGGCGGGACCCATTTCCTATGTACGTCTGATTGCGGTTCCGTGCGTTCTAATGCAATTTGCTGGAAACGTAGAACGGTTGAGTAGGATTTGAACGTAAACGAAGGTGCACCAGAGCTAATCCTTGGTTACCCGACTCGCTTCCCTTGCAGTTTCACCCTCGCGAGTCGCGACCCAATTTTCGGTAGCTCAGGTATCTCCATGTCAGTTTGGCGGAGTGGCGAACATTAGCGAGGAAACTATTGATTCGTCGGGCTGGTAACAGCAGGGACCCAGCGAAATTGAAAAGCTTTCCCACCTTGAAGATCGAAGTCCAGAGGGTCAGAACAAATATCACACGGCAGCATTGTCAGTCAGGAATTTCTTGGATTCGTCAGGACTAGCCGGGCAGCAGTGAAGGCGACTTCGCCAGGCTTTTGCTTCCCGCTTGCAATAGCAACGCCGCATTGAATAAGTCCTTATTTTCCTAAGTGCGTCGCGCACTGTCGTCATGTCTCACGGTAAGTTGTAGTGATTCGTATGCGCCTGTTTACTTCCACATTCTTCTACTTCCGCCAGCAACCTACGATGAGATGCCGCTATCATGACTTATTTCTCACAACACTGACGCGTCACGGAACATTCGTGGCTTTCTTTCTAATGTCTCTCGCTCCCTAACGTCCAGATCCAAGGTACCCTTACGGTTATCCACCACCAGCCGGCTACCCACTGGCACCCTACCCTCCCGCGCCCGGCTATCCACCACCTCCTGCCGGCTACCCGCCGCCTCCTGCCGGTTATCCGCCTCCACCGGGCTACTACCCGCCGCCGCCGGCAGGCTACCACCACCCACCACCCCCGCACTACCACCACCCGCCACCCCCGCACTACCACCGTGAGATGATGAGATCTTACATTCTATGCTGCGTGACCTCTTATTTTGTTAGGTCACTTTTCAAATGCTGCTCGCCTGGATCATTCCCTCCCGTTTTCATGCTTCTCTTGCACGAAATCGTTTTTGCGGTATATGCCTGTTCTTTATTACATGCGTATATGTCCTTTAACCAGCCTCATGCCGCCCTTGTAACTGTGTTACACTGACAGATGGCGCGGTGGCCCATCACAACATCGGCCATGCCTTGGCTCATGGCGTAGCTCACACGATGCATCTCTTTGGAAAGAGGAAGCACAAGGGTCACTTTGGATATGGGAAGCACAAGGGGTACCACCACCACCATTATGGCCACCACCATCACCACGGCCACCACTATGGAAAGTGGAAGGTAATGTTTTTCTAGCCGAGACAATAGTCACAAGGGGTACCACCACCACCATTATGACCACCACCACCATCACCACCATGGTCACCACGGCCATCACTATGGAAAGTGGAAGGTACGGTCGTTGGGCTGCTTTGCTGCTGGCGTTGATGGTTGAATCCACTGCAAGCAACCATTCTTCAATGGCTCTTGTGCATACAGCTAACGTCCATGAAGGTGTTCAAAGTGCTGTCGGAGTTGTGTCAGCCCATTCCATCTTTGCCTTACCCCTCTTTTCCCCTTTTTCTGTTTCATTTGTTGCCCTGCCCACTGCCCTTCCCCTAATCACGTTTTTTGGCAGTAACTAATAAGATGTGCAGATACCAGAACAGCATGAGGGGTACATGGCTGTTTGTGGAACCAGCTTGTGGTCTCTGCCTTTCTACTCTCTAGTCTAGTCTCCCTTCTTGCTTATGTACAGAAGCGTACCGTATATGTACACACTCACGAGAGATGTGAAGTAGATATTTCTGTATCTATTGTCAACTTTCAGAGTTACCAGTTTGCAACATCTGAAGGATCCACTTGAAGCCAGTGCCATCGAAGCAGAGACTTGCTCAACTATTCTCGAAAGAATAAACAGGCCCAGCCACGCAAGTTCAGTGCAGCAGCCAAACAAGATACTATCCATAGTCACTTCGAATCATGGGAGCACATGATGGCTACTGTATGGACCATCACTACCACCATTACTCTGATCTACGCGTGTGTAACGTGTCGTGGTGTGTGGGGAGGAGCGGGGTGTGTGGTCGCTTGCGACAGCGGTAGCAGCGACACATGATGATGAGGATGAGCAACACCCACAGCAGGGGCACGGACCACCTGATGTGAATGCAAGAGGAGAGGAGTAGACAATGAGAAACAGGGGGGGGGAGTGAACGGCAGGCAGGTTCGCAAGCCTTGGTATTGCTTAGAGGGCCTGAGAGGAACTCACAGGTCGAGGTCGATGAAGGGGTTGTAAACAACGGCCTCCCAAATGTTGACAAAGGTGCGCCAGGCGGGGTTGAGGTAGAGCGAGTCAAAGGACCAGAAGATGCGTGTGTAGGTCTCCAGGAACACAAAGAGCGCCCACGCAAGCACCTCGACGACCACCCACTTCACCATGAAACGGCCGACGACGACAAGCACGAGCGAGCCGATGACCAGCCAGTTGAAGAGACGCTGATTGTACTCCTTGAGAAATTGGGACCGCTCTCGAGTCCATGTCTGTAAGAGGCAGGGAGGGAGGAGGAACAGGGCATGGGTTTTGCCGGGGGGAATGGAGGGTGTAGATTAGCAATGAAATTTCCAGGAAGACAAAGAGCGCCCACGCGAGCACCTCCACCACGACCCACTTGACCATGAAACGTCCCACGACAACGAGCACGAGCGAGCCGATGACCAGCCAGTTGAAGAACCACTGGTTGTACTCCTTGAGGAATTGGGACCGCTCTCGAGTCCAGGTCTAGTTAGTGTGGGGAGGGGGGTGGGAGAAAGGGGGAGTAGGGAGGAGGGTGCGACAAGGAGAAATGGGCAGTTGAGGAGGCGCCGGTTGCACTCCTTGAGGAACTGAGAGCACTAGCGAGCCCACATCTGGTGAAAGGGAGGGGGCGTGGGGGGTGGTTGTGTGAGGGAAAGGGAAAATGGGAAGAGGGAAGTTGTGGAGAAGGTGTGGTAAGGAGTGGTGGCCAGTTGAAGGCCCTGGTTGTGATTTTTGAAAAACTGGGGCCACTCGCAAATCCACGTCTAGTGAGAAGCAGGGCGGGAAACGAGGGCTCGTCGAAGGGTTTGAAGTCGAAAGTTGTTTCCCAGCCCCTCACCTTCTTGAGCCGGTCCCTGTAAGCAGATTTACTCGGCCCGCGGCAGGCATGGTCGACGGTGTGGTTGCAAGCTTCCAGGTGGGCATCCAATTTGGCCACTAACCGCAGGCGCATGTTGGCGAGAGCATCCAGCTCCTCCCCTCACTCACCTACTTCGCTCCAGCAGAACTTTGAATTCAAACTGTGCTTCTTCTTCTCACCCTCTCCCCCCCCTCTCACCTTCTTCAGCCGGTCCCTATAAGCCGACTTGCTCGACCCGCGGCAGGCATGCTCCACGGTGTGGTTGCAATGCAAGCTTTCAGGCGGGCATCAAACTTGGCCACTGATGGCGGGCGCATGTTGGCGAGAAGGTCCAGCTCCTCTTCTCAACTGAATCCCCACCAAGAGATTCCCTTCCAAGGGATCCACCAAGGTGTGCCGCTTTGACAACCAAGTGTGCTTTCCTCTCTCTCACCTTTTTCAGCCGGTCCCGGTAGGCTGACTTGCTGGGCCCGCGACAGGCATGCTCCACGGTGTGATTGCATGCTTCCAGGCGGGCATCAAACTTGGCTACTGATGGCAGGCGCATGTTGGCTAGAGCGTCCAGCTCCTCTTCACACCCCCTGTGCGCGCCCTCACATGCCTTGGCCGATGCAAACTCATTCTCCCGCTTCAGCTTCACCAGCTCCTGTGAGAGAGGGGGAAGGACAGGGGAGGGACAGGCACGCACACACGCACACGCACAGAAACACACACACACACACACACACACACACACACACACACACACACACACACACACACACACACACACACACACACAGGCTCAAACACTAGCCCACACATGGAGACACTCTCTGATGGCATGGCAGGCGCATGTTGGCTAGAGCGTCCAGCTCCTCCTCGCACCCCCTGTGCGCGCCCTCACATGCCTTGGCCGACCCAAACTCGTTCTCCCGCTTCAGCTTCACCAGTTCCTGTGAGAGAGGGAGGGGAGTGTGGTGACGGCAAGGGGGTAGTTGGGATGATCGCACATGCAAATGCATGTGCACGTGCCCAGACACACAGACACACAGACACACAGACACACAGACACACAGACACACAGACACACAGACACACAGACACACAGACACACAGACACACAGACACACAAACACACATGCACACACAAACACACGCACACACAAACACACATGCACACACGCGCACACACAAACACACACGCGCACACAAGCACACGCGCGCACACAAACACACACGCACACACAAACACACGCGCGCACACACAAACATCCCCCCCCCCCCCCCCCCCCTCACCTCTCGCAGCTCAGCTCATCCTTCAAAGGCCGAACAGCATCCTCCACGCTCTTCCCGCCAAACCTCTCCCTCTCAAACACTGCAACCAGCGCGACTTCCCACACACCTCTCCCGCATGTGGGCACACTCGCACATACACACCTACACATGCTCACCTCTCTCAGCTCATCCTTCAAAGGCCGAACAGCATCCTCCACACTCTTCCCGCCAAACCTCTCCCTCTCAAAGGCCCCTAAGGCGTCGCCACTGGCATTCCTATGAGCCGCCAGCAGCACCGCCTCCTCTGCTGGCAGGAAGGGCAGCAGGCGTTTCATGGTGTCGTGGTAGAGAGCAAGACACTTGTCTTGTACTGCCCGGTTGAATGCATCGACGACAGAGCCGGCTGTTGGGATGTGCCCCTTGTTAAGGGCGCTCAGGGTCTGGTTACACGGGGTAGACGCGAGGGGGAGGGAGGGGGAGGGAGGGGGGGAGCGGAAGGGAGAACAGGAAGAGGAGGTGAGCAGGCTGAATGCGGTTGAATGCGTCAACCACCGAGCCAGCTGTTGGGATGTGCCCCTTGTTTAGTGCGTTGAGGGTCTGACAAAGGGGGGCCGGGTGGGGGGGGCGAATACGAGGAGAAGACGTTGGATAGATAAAGAGAGGCGAAGTCACCAGGCTGCGCATGGCGCCGTTGTAGAGCGAGCGCAAGGCAATTCGAAATATCCACAAGGCCAGCTAACGAGGTGACTTTTGAGTCGACTCAAAAGTCACCAGGCTGCGCATGGCGCCGTTGTAGAGCGAGCGCAAAGCAATTCAAAATATCCACAAGGCCAGCTAACGAGGTGACTTTTGAGTCGACTCAAGGTGACTTTTGAGTCGACTCAAAAGTCACCAGGCTGCGCATGGCGCCGTTGTAGAGCGAGCGCAAGGCAATTCAAAATATCCACAAGGCCAGCTAACGAGGTGACTTTTGAGTCGACTCAAAAGTCACCAGGCTGCGCATGGTGCCGTTGTAGAGCGAGCGCAAGGCAATTCGAAATATCCACAAGGCAATCCAAAAACTCCACAAGGCAATCCAAAAACCCCACAAGGCAATCCAAAAACACCACAAGGCCAGCTATCTCCTCTGCCTCGATAGGAATAACAACACTTTCGAAAACACCCTGAAAATCTCACCCTCTCAAGCAAGTAAGCCAACTCCTCTCCTCCCCAGCGTCCACGTCACCCTCTCCACCTGCCTCAACTGCTTGTGTGAACTGAAGGGTTGAGGGTTTACAACTCACCTTTCCAAGGAGGTCAGCAAACTCCTCAATCGGCCTGCCCGGTATGACCTTGGGCTGCAGCAGCGACACCACCAGCTGCCACAGCGGCTTGTGTGCACTGAGTTGACTTTTGAGTCGACTCAAAGTCAACCCAGCTGCCGCAGAAGCTTGTGTGCACTGAGTTGACTTTTGAGTCGACTCAAAGTCAACCCAGCTGCCGCAGAAGCTTGTGTGCACTGAGTTGACTTTTGAGTCGACTCAAAGTCAACCCAGCTGCCGCAGAAGCTTGTGTGCACTGAGTTGACTTTTGAGTCGACTCAAAGTCAACCCAGCTGCCGCAGAAGCTTGTGTGCACTGAGTTGACTTTTGAGTCGACTCAAAGTCAACCCAGCTGCCGCAGAAGCTTGTGTGCACTGAGTTGACTTTTGAGTCGACTCAAAGTCAACCCAGCTGCCGCAGAAGCTTGTGTGCACTGAGTTGACTTTTGAGTCGACTCAAAGTCAACCCAGCTGCCGCAGAAGCTTGTGTGCACTGAGTTGACTTTTGAGTCGACTCAAAGTCAACCCAGCTGCCGCAGCAGCTTGTGTGCACTGGGAAGCTCACCGGTTTGTGAATCAGCGCATTCCTCCCCAATTACCAACTCACTCTTTCCAGGAGATGAGCAAAATCCTCCCCCAGTGACAGGCCGGCCAGACACGATCTTGGGCTGCACCAGCAGCGCCACCAGCTGCCTCAGCTGCTGCTTGTGTGTGATCGGAGTCTCATCTTCTCCAGCAGCGCCACCAGCTGCCTCAGCTGCTTGTGTTGTGTGTGATGGGAGCCTCATCTTCTCCAGCAGCTCAGCGCCTTCCTCTCCTGTGAGAGCAGTGGCAACGCCTCTCAAATGCACCTTGCCTGCAAGGCTCACGCTCACCTTCTCTAGCAGGTCTGCAAACTCCTCCCCAGTAACTGGCCTCCCCGAGACTATCTTGGGCTGCACCAGCGACGCCACCAGCTGCCGCAGCTGGTTGCGCTGGCGCACGTACTTGGGGTCCAGCTCGTCATCTGATAGCTCACACAGGCGCGTTCGTGCGAGGTGGGGCTGGTGGATGGGGTGGGGGAGGAGGGATGGGGGTGGAGGAAAGGAATGGCCACAACTGAGGGACTGGTTGTGATGGGGTACGTACTTGGGGTGTAGCTCGTCATCTGATAGCTCGCGCGGCCGCGTTCGTGCGAGGTGCGGCTGGGGGGAAGGGGGTGCATGATAAGGAGGAATGGCAACAACTGAGGGACTGGTTGCGCTGGCGCACGTACTTGGGGTCCAGCTCGCCATCTGATAGCATTTTGAGTCGACTCAAAAGTCACCACGTACTTGGGGTCCAGCTCGCCATCTGATGGCTCACACAGCCGCGTTCTCGCCAGGTGCGGCAGGCAAGGTGGAGGGAAGAAACGCATGCACGCACACGCTGGTACATAGAGCTCACCTCGGTCAAAACAAACGCAGTGCTGTTGACGGTCATGCCGTTGAGTGACTGGCGGATGAGGTTTACTTGATCCACGTCCTTGTCCCCCTCTGGGTTGAACCAAGAGGCAAAGACAATGGCACCTCCACAGAGCTGACCCGAACAGAGACAAGCTCACCTGAGTGAGGCCGAAGGCAGTGCTGTTGGCGGCCATGAGGTTGAGCGACTGGCGGATGAGGTTCACTTGATCCACGTCCTTGTCCCCCTCTGGGTTTGGCACCGGCTGCAGTGCCCCCCGCACCATCTCCTGCACCGTCTTACCCTCTGGTGAGGAGGAGAAAAGGATTAGAAATGCGTGCAAGGTGGGGAGAGTAGTTAAGGTAATACGGAATCAGCAGGTTCAAAACAGGTAGCAGCCACGTGAAGACAAAGACGGATGGGGCGAGGGGCAACGAGCGCACGCACACACAGAAGCGCGCGCGTGTGCAAAAGCGCACGCACACACGCACGCACCTAGGAAGTCTCGTTGAATGAGCCATAGCAGCTTCGCTGGTGTGAACACCTCGTCTCGACCCTGCAGGGAGGCACACGGGTGGGTTTGGAGCAGCAACCTCAATCAAATAAGACGGCTTTTCATGACATCAAAGCAACAAACAAATCAAACATACAAAACAGAACAGAACAAAAGTGGGAAGGAGTTTCAGGCCAAATATATGGCACATGGTGGATGGGCGACTGGAAAGTGGGGAGAATGAGTGGGGAGAGGGGAAGCGGGTGTCAAGAGAGAGGGGGGAAAGGAAGAGGGGAAACATGGGGAGAGTGGAGAGTTGAGGACTATGAGGAATCGGCAAGTGTGGAAAGTTGGGGAGCATGAAAAAAAAAAAAAACTTTTAAAACAGCAACCTCTTCAGGTATAAGGGTAACGGGAGGGGGAAAGGAAAAGTGGGGGAACGGTTTGGGTAAAGGAAGTAAGTGAGAAAGAGGACAGGCAGAGGAGGAGCATGTTGGGCAGGGGTTGGGGTGCGAGGGGGGGAAGGGTGGTTTGAAAATAAAAATCCAGTAAAAATGTTGCGAAGCAGAAGAAACTGCTCTCCTTTTCCCCGTTTCTTCCCTGTTCCTTTTCTTCCCCCTTCCCTTTCTTTCCCCTTCCCTTTCTTCCCCCTTCCCTTTCTTCCCCCTTCCCTTTCTTCCTCCTTCCCCATCTTCCATTTTTCTTCCCCCTTTCTTCCACCTGACTTCCCCCTCACCTTGACTCTGTTGGTTGGTCGCAGCACAAATGCACCCTCCCATGCCACACACGGCCCATCAACTCCTCCCAACACACACACATCCATGCACAGATGCACGCACGCACGCACACAAATGAACGCACGCGCACACACACGAACACACACACACACGCACGCACGCACACACACACACACACACAGACACACACAAATGAGGACAAAAGTTAAAAAAAATCCAGGGATCTACATCTCCAAGACACCCCAGTGATTCACAATGCATCACATTCGGATGCGAAACTTCAACGCACCAAATTTCTCCACTGAATTCTCAACAGGAGAGAAAGGGAAAAAGGCTGAAGTCATCCATGTCTGACAACAAAAAAACTATCCTGTACCACCCCACCTGCCCACATTTCCACCCCACACCCCCCCCCCCTCCTCCTCTCCCCATCCTGCACTCTTGCCTCTCCCCTCCCACATCCCCTTTTTCCCTTTCCCCACACACCCCATCCCCCACCCTGGCTTTCCCACCTGCCATAGAACTCTTCTGCCAGTTCAACAGTGAATGACAGCTTCGCTATATCCGCCTCCTTCACCTGTATGCATGCCCCTTCTCTACCCCCTTCCCTTCCCCCACCACCCAACCCACCCCGTCCCCCACCCCAACCTCCACCCACCTGCCATAGAACTCTTCTGCCAGTTCAACAGCGAATGACAGCTTGGCTATATCCGCCTCCTTCACCTGCATGCATGCACATTCGCACATGCAGGCACACATGCATACATGCATGCACATGCACACATGCACGCACACATGCACACATGCACGCACACATGCACACATGCACACATGCATGCACACAGCCAGGCACACATGCATACATGCAGGCACATGCACATGCACACCACACATGCACACATCCAAGCACACACAAACACACAAACCAGGAAGTGCTGACACAAAAGCTGCAGGTATATGGGCGCAGGTGGGGGTTGATGCCCGCAACAGGGGAATGCTCCAGCAGCTAAACTCACCATGGCCAGTATCTGACTCAGCACACCGTGCGTCCGACACAGCATAACCTGCGACCGACTCACCGTTTCTGCAAGGTTGTATATCAGCACTGAGCTTAACACTGTAGCGAGGGCAAATATCCTGCACACCAAGCATGGGGCCACGGGGGGATGAGGAGGGGAAAAGCAAGGAGGGAAGGAGAGGGGGGACGAGTGGGAAGACAGGTGCAAAAGGGACCATACTGAGGTGGCTCTTAACGAAGCTATTCAGTCGGAGGACAGGAATAGAGGGGACCAATGGAGGAGGTCGAGAAATGATTGGAGAGGGGAAGGAGAGGGGAAAGGTTGGAAAGGCAAGGGGGGGAGGGAGGAGCGGAGGGTGGTGGGAGAATTTGGGATTGAAAGTATGTTGGGAAGGGTAGGAGTTACGGAATAGTAGATGTGACAGAGGGCTCTTCTTGTAACAATCAAAATACAAACAGAAGTAGAGGCGACTAAAGGCGATTGACCCACCTGCCATCGCACCAACCGACACAGCACACGCACCTGTCATCGTAGACGGATGACTTGCCGACGCTCTCAAAGCCCTCGATGTCCAGGAAAGCAACAACGTGGCCTGCCCGTTCACCTTCACCTGCCTTTTGAGTCGACTCTAGAGAGTCAGTCAACTGAGATGAGACCAACGCACTTGTCATCATACCAACACATGCAACATGCGCAGCACATGCACCTGTCATCGTAGACGGATGACTTGCCGACGCTCTCAAAGCCCTCGGTGTCCAGAAATAGCACCGACGTGGTCTGCCCGTTCACCTGCATCTCCATTGGGTCGCCCCACACCCATATGCCTGCCAGAACCACGGTGCACATGAGTTGAATACAGCAGACGATGAAGCAAAAGGGGGGGAAATCCAAGACGTGAAGGGAAACCCATTTGGTGAAAAGGTACTGGTATTCCAAAAGGTGAGAATAATTTCAAAAAGTGACAAGAAGCCCAAATTGTGAAACAAAATAAACCCAACAGGGGAAAGGAAAAAAAAAAAAAAAAAAAAAAGTGAATAAGATCTTAAAAGGTGGAAGAAATCCTAAAATGTGGCAAGAAGAACTACACAGCAAGCCTTCGGCTGTATGCATGTGACGAACTAGTGTGCCACTTCTCCTGTGATTGCCTGTCACTCACCTTTGGTCTTGGTGTCGCGTGCATGACCCACCCCGAACCCTGAAGGGAAGGTACAAGCAAGGGGTGGAAGATGCGTGTGTGTGGGGTGGGGGAGAGAGGTGATTGTGAGGGAGATAGAAGGATGAAACGGAATTGAATGGAATGGCTCGGCAGATATGGAGCATGATGTGAAAAGGGGGACAAACATACCTTCATCGCACGTGAGTGTAAGCAACTGGTTGAGCAGAAAAGATTTGCCTGATCTGTACGGTCCAATCACCTGAGGGGATGGGATGGCAGATACAACAGGAAAACATGCACACATACATGCACACATACATGCACGCATGCACACATATGTGCACGCAAAATGCAGTCAATCATGGACACACAAACGGCAACATAGCGGATGCACGCAGGTTGGCATCGCCACCAACCAATTGATGCATTAACACGTTCAATGGGACTGATGAGGCAAGGACGAATGACATGTAAGCAGCTCGGTGGTTCACAAAGAAGCAAGTAGGTAGACATACCGCAACGATGGCGATGGGATTCTTGATGCTTCTGATCACGCTGAGGCCCTCCTGAGACACCTTGAGCTTGGTGTGCTTCGTGTCTGGCTGTATTACCGGGTACCTGCACGCATGCATGCATGTGCGTATCACAACAAAATGTTCGGACATCCATGAAGGGCATGGCAAACGGATGGCAACATAGGATATTGAGTCAGTTGTTGCTGGGACACCTTGAGCTTCGTGTGCTTCGTGCCTGGCTATTGCACACATGCATGCACCACCACATTGAGTTTGGACGAGGCATGGTATGGGCTTTTCACAATGTCTCAATGTCCTGTATGCTACCGCATGACATGGCATGGCATAGCATGCCAGAATGTCTTGTATGCTATCAAATGACATGACCTGGCATAGTCGGAATGTCCGGATTGGTATCACAGGTCATGGCATGGGGTACGGTACGGTGTGCCATGCTCTGATATCGTACGGCATGGCATATTCTACGTGAATTCAGTGCTAGACCGCAAGTTCAAGCCAAGCTGCTAACGCATCGTGGATAAAAAATCATCAGTCTCGTCATCGACACTAACAGCACACTCCAAATCACACCTGCAACCTGTTTCCGACGTTACCTGATTAAATTCCAGATTGCGCACCTAACGCTGCCACCTGTCTCTTCTGAATCTAGAGATAGACATGGTTTTGACATGACATGGACCGCTTGGTTCGCCACCATACGTATTCCAATGTAACCGGGAACTTAGCTAATTGCTGGGATCAGGTGCTACCCAAAATCTGGCAAACTTAGCACGGACGTCGATGCATCTCGTAGCACGCACCTCCAGGCAAGTAGTAAACATACTATCCCCTTCTAACACCATTCCGATACCTAAGGACCTCATACTTCTTCAAACCGTCTACTTTCGTCCCAATACCCTCGTGTGTTGCTCGAAAAGCAGCTTCTTTCGAAGGAATGTAACTCGCTCGCTCTTACTGCACGACTACTCACGCGCGACGATGCTTCGTGTCGCCGCCGCTTCGCCAAACTTCGCCATCGCCTGGTGTTCGTAAGTCATCTGTGATTTCCGCATCCTGACCGGTGGCGACTCTAGAGGTTGAGGATAATAGTGTGAGTGTAACGAAGAGAAGGCTAACTAAAGCGCGGTGCGATGATCTGGCCATGGCACCTGTGGCACAACTGCTCGGCAGGTGAAGTGTTTGTAAACAAATTTTCTAATGTAAATTTAAACAGCAATTAGACGGCGTGGGGATGTAGCTCAGATGGTAGAGCGCTCGCTTAGCATGCGAGAGGTATGGGGATCGATACCCCACATCTCCAAGCATCCTTGCAGCATCTGCTTTTGTGGCACTACTAGTTATGTCAATTGTGTGCCTGTGTTACGAGTGCAATTGAGCGAGCTAGCTAGAATTGCACTATAGAAGTACAATGAGCGAAGAATATATAGCTAACTAGAGTGGTAACGCGAGAAATTGGGATGCACTACGAGCCTAGCGCCGAGGTTGGGATATGTCGAGGCGGAGGTCCGGAGCGCGGGTTACCAACCAAACTGAGAGGTTGGGTTTGCATCGTGAACAGTGGCGGGAGTCGTAGTCGAGGCGAGTGTCGCGAGCGAGTAACGTTTCACTGTTGGGTGCTGATGGCAGGGAATGGTCTTGTACGCGATAAGCAGGGGCGTGAAGTAAGGAAAATGAATTTTCCTAACACTACCCCTTCCCAACGGAATGCGCGTGTACATCTCGAAAATTTCGGCTGCGCATATACTCGGTGAGGACAAGGTGATTCTCAATTCTATCCAGGGGAACCCATTTGTCTTCGATGGGCGTGCGTGTGAAAAAAGAGAATGGAATGGTTGAACTAGGAACGAGATGGGTACAAGTAGAGAACACAAAAGTGTTGTACCCTCTAAGAACTACCCCACTACAGCCTAAACAGACTATAGCAGATATAAGTTTGACAGACCCCCATAGGCAAAGTGGGGGAGAACAAGAGATCACAAAACCAGTCAAGAAAGACAAAGCAAGCTCAGGGTGGATCACAAAGTCACCACGCAGTCTGAGCACAAGCAAATGGCCACAAGGCCAGTTCATATGCAGAGTCATATAAAAGAAAACAAACAATAAACAGAACAAAACCTAGCAAAAGTAAGCATGCATGTATATGTATAAAGAGTACAGTACAGGCAGAGTCAGGCAGAAAGCAAGTGAGGCACAGTAGGTACAAGGCCTAACATAGTGCAGAAACGCTGATGATCACAAGGCTGAAGTGCCTTGGTGAAAACATCAGCAGTGTTGGCCTGAGAGGCCACGTACGCAAGACGAAGCTGGCCACGCTGCTGCAACTCTCGAGCAAGGAAGTAGCGCAGAGAAATGTGCTTCGTGTGCAAGTCATCAGGTACATGAGGCAGCCCACAAGCTCTGGATACAGGCCACTCGGCTCTACGGACTCGTCCGAAGGTGGAGCTGAGAGCGAGTGACCGGTAGGCAGAGGAGTAGACTGTGGCGAGGAGTACGTGAAGCCGAAGCGCTGAAGGACCTGCTGCACCATGTGTGACTGAGTCAAGGTAATGGTGCGCTGTGCTCTGTCCCGGGTGATCCGCAAGCCAAGATAGCTTGTCAGCTCACCCAAATCTGTGCACGTGTGTCTCTTCTGCAGCTCGGACTTCACGTGGGCGAGTGCCTCCGTGTCAGCAGTAGCAAAGACGAGGTCGTCTACGTACACGAGAACGTAGAACGGCGGCAGAGTAGCGTCAGTGCGTAGAAACAGAGAAGGGTCAGCAGTGGAAGGAGCAAAACCAAGAGAAGCAAGAGTCGTCCTGAGCGTGTCGTGCCACTCACGGCGCGCCTGGCGGAGACCGTAGACTGGCCGCCGGAGGCTCCACTGGGTACCAGCAGGAAACGACCCAGTGAAGCCAGGTGGGCGGCGCAGCCAGATCTCCTCGTGCAGGCTGCCCTGTAGGAAGGCTGTGCTGAAGTCAAGCGAGTGGAGCTCGTGGTCACGCTGAGCAGCAACGTGCAGCAGTACCCGGAGAGTGGTCATCTTCGGGGTAGGGGAGAAGGTATGAAAGAAGTCAACTCCCTGTCGCTGACTGAAGCCACGTGCAACGTAACGCGCCTTGAAGGCAGGCGGAGAACCCGGCGGCCGCTTCACCCTGAAGATCCACATGCCACTGACGATGTTCGCCCCAGGTGGGGGAACCTCGTCTACGTAGGTGCCTGTGGACTTCCAGGAAGCCATCTCTGCGTCCATGGCTGCCTACCACTGAGAGGAGTAGGGACCCTCTATCGCCTCTGCGTAAGAGCGCGGGGTCGGGATGTCTAGTGCATCCGGGTCTCCCTCAGGGGCCAGTAGCATGGACACGAGATGAGGTACAGAAGCAGCAAAGCACTCAAACTCCTCCTGTCTGTCCTCAAGAACATCCGTGCCAAGAGCACACTCACCCCCGACGGACGGAGGACGGACAGACAAAGACGCAGCAACCAGACTAGCAGCGTAGTCTAGGCGACAGGCAGCAGCAAAGGCAACAAGCTCAGTAACAAGAGCAGACGCAGCAGAGGACTCAAACAGAGGGTCAGTGACAGCAGTGGCCAGAAAGCGCGTGACAGCTGGACTAGCAGCACGAAGGGAGTCAGACTCCGGGTCCGGACTGGCAGGAAGAGAGGACGCGGGAGGAGACGGCAGAGGGACACGCTGTGGAGCAGTAGAAGGACGTAGAGTCATAGAGTGAGTGCCTGGGACAGGAGGGAGACGTAGACGCGAAACACGACCAGCGCGAACAGTACGGACAGGCGACGCAGCACGAGACGCAGGCGACACAGGACGAGACTCAGGCTCACGATGCTCCGTAAGACCTCCAGTCGGTCCAGAGTAAGGACCGGGCAGCGGAGAGGCCGGCTGCAGCTGTGACTGGGACCGGACAGGCGGCGGACTTAGGAAAGGAGGAGGACCAGGAGAAGGCGGTGAGCTAAGAACCTGCTGAAGGAGCGGAACGTAGTACGGCCGTGGCCGCGCAGCGCCTCCAGAAACAGCAGAAACAGGACCGGTACCCTCAGCCCCAGGGTCTCCAGTCCCAGCAGCACCTCCAGCACCTCCAGCAGCTCCAGCAGCAGCAGCACCTCCAGCAGCACCTCCAGCACCACCAGCACCAGCAGCACCTCCAGAAGCTCCAGCAGCACCTCCAGCACCAGCAGCACCTCCAGTAGCACCAGCACCAGCAGCACCTCCAGAAGCCCCAGCAGCACCTCCAGCACCAGCAGCACCTCCAGCAGCAGCAGCACCTCCAGCACCAGCAGCACCTCCAGCAGCAGCAGCACCTCCAGAAGCTCCAACAGCACCTCCAGCACCTCCAGTAGCCCCTCCAGAAGCCCCAGCAGCACCTCCAGTACCAGCAGCACCTCCAGCAGCACCAGCACCAGCAGCACCTCCAGAAGCCCCAGCAGTACCCCGACAGAGCCGAGAGTACCACTCACGAAGCCGCTGTGGAGAGAGAGGCTCCCACCGCGGCGGGACACCGAGAGCACCTCCAGACACAGCACGCGCAGGCTCAGCACCCCCAGGCTCAGCACCCCCAGGCTCAGCACCCCCAGGCTCAGCACGCCCAGACTCAGCACCCCCAGATTCAGCACCCCCAGTCTCCGCACCCGCAGGCGCAGCACCCCCAGACTCAGCACCTGAGTCGACAGCTACCTCGACCGGCTCGGCAGGGTCTACCTGGGACACACCTGAGGGGGCAGGACCCTGGGGGGGGAGGGGGTCTACAGGGGGAGTACCTGGGGCAAGGAAGAGCGGCGGGGGAGGGGGAGAGGCAGTGCGGTAGGGAAAGAGACGGTAGTACGACACCGACTCGTCAAACGTGACGTCCTGAGAGGACAGAACACGACGCGAGGTGGGGTGGTAGAACTGCCACCTGGGTGCGTCAGGAGGGAAGCCAAAGAAGACACAGGGAACGGCACGGGAGGACAGCTTGTCCGCAGTAGTATCGCGGACAAAAGCTCGAGATCCCCAGACACGGAACGCGGACGCATCGCCAACCTTCCCCGTCCACCGCAGAGTAGGTGTGGTCTCCGGCAAGGAGACACGAGGCTGAAGGTTGATCTGATGCGCCGCGTACTGAACCGCGAACGGCCACAGAAAATGGGGAGCAGCCGCA